ATATATATATAAACGAATTATGTTATTTTTTAAGAATGGTGACTCAAATTTATAATATAAAAAGTTATATGTAATGAAATATTGTCACTTTTTGTTGCATATTGCATCGTAAAAAAAGTTAAAATTAAAATATATGAAAGAATATCCTAACGTCACAAGGTCTACTTTTTTTTTAAAACACTTGCTGATCAAAGTGGCTTCTGTACTACTATGATAATAGTGTGATGTGCCATATGATATATAATTATATCGCTTAAGTAGGTGACTAAAGATTTGATCCTTAAATATATATAAATAGAAGAACAGTAATTTGTTAAGAAGATTAAATCTCTTAAATATATCTAAATATTTCGAAAAAAAAGTCTTTAACTATTTCAGCTGAAAATATATGTTAGTCCAAAATAGTGGGCTTGTGTGTCCATTTTTTTCATATGAAGAATCTTATTAGGCATAATTTTTTTAAGACGTAAAAGCCATTAATATATTTTATGCAATTTTTAATAAAATGTTTCATACATATACAGTCAAAGATTGAACTTGCATTAATATATTTAAATACTAAGTGAACCAAACTTTCCTTTGAAAAGAAGTGCATGAATCCTATGTGGACTATATAATATGTATCACTTTAAACATCCAACAGCACAGGGATATCTTTTAATTTGTTGCACTATAACTTGAACATTTCTTTATGTACCCAAAAATAAAAGTTAAAAGACTTCTTCTCACATTGCATCATTTATTCCTCAACCCTTTTTTTTCCCACAACTAAAACTAGGAAAGCAAAGAATCCCCTTTATTATGGCTTTTATGTTTTTTATTCTATCTTGATGATAGATATTGTTCCAAGTCGTATAAACAAATAAAGTTATTTTTTTAAAAGTAAACATTTAGGGAAGGGAAGAGGAAGATGAGGGCTACTACTTTCCTAATTCACTACATTGCCACAAACTGTAAGAAGGATCCTCATGTACAGATTACTTATCTCATATGATTATTGAGAATGAATCAAGATTAATATCCTTTCAAGAGAAATCAAATATTTTTTTAATCACATAAATGAAACAATCAATCAAATTTTATTTTTGTAAAGTTTACTTTTTAAAATAGTCTCGTTATTTTGCGTTTCACTTAACTTTTTTCTTAAACTTTGAATTAAATTGAAAACACATCAACGTTTTTAATCAATCTCAGCTTTAGTTATGATTTATTATCAGAAGAATTTAAAACCACTTTAAGTCACAACAATGTTGTGCAAGTTGATTCATGCCTTGGTGATAAGCAGGTTATATATCAATTACTCTTTGTAGCTTATTATGTTATTAACTTCTTTTTTGGGGTGGATCTTAACCTAACCCTGATATTATTCTCAACTTACTTCCAAGGGATAATTTGATATGCATATAGTTTTTCTTTTCATGAAAGTCATGTTATCACTACAAAAAATGTTCCATATAATAACATACAAAAAATGTCATTATAGATATAATATATGTAGGTATATACTTATTTGATATATAGTTACATACAATCTTAATGTTAATTTTGTATGAGATTTAACAACATATTTTGTGTGTTACTATAGTGTATACTTATACTTTTTTAACAATATATCAATATATATTATATTTATTGTGTGGGTAAAAGTAGTTTTTAGTGACACGTATGATGTCACTATAGGATGTGTGTCACTATGATAATTTTCTTATAATGAATTTAAGAATTATCTTTTATATGGTTAAAAAGAATCTAAAAAAATAATTCTTCTTACGTGTAATTAAAAATTTTCCACTTCTACGAGAATTCCGAATCCTCATCTTCTCCTGTAAGTATGTTTCATCGGGAAATATGATATTTTGAAAACATTAACTTAAAATGATCATTGTACAATTTATTGAGAATAAGCTTCATAATTTGTATAACATTTTTTTTTATCAATCTCTCTCCATTATTTTATTTATTATAAAGAAAGATATTATTAGTAATCGAGAAAGATAAATATAAAAATGATATTATATAATTTTTATTTTCTAGTATAACATTATTTCTAATTTATTGAGGATAAGTTTCATACTTTTTTATGTTGTTCCTGCTTTTTTAGTCTTGTCATTTTGACTGATGGAACTGCTATCTCTTTTGTCATTTTGGCTGATGTTATTTCTACTATTTTTCTTCGTGATTTTTAGTGTTCCTAAGAGCTTTTCATGTTTTCTTTTTCAAAAAAAAAAATTATTGTATAATTTTCTTGATACATATTACAAGTATTCTCTATCAAAGACAATATGTTTTGGGTTATTGTACAATTTTATTCTACATGCATGACCTATCTTATCTAAAATCTACAAGTCACTTATATAATTGAATTGAATTTTAAACTTGACATATTGATTTGACTAAATAATAAACAAAATATTTGTGGATAAGTCGCGAATAAACCCTAACTAGGATAAGACAATTGCAATTTGCAAGCAAGTCACTCCACTCGTGCGTATGAAACTTTGTTTGACTGCACGAGGAGACCCCAAAGAATGCATAGAATTCCCTTCATTTGCCCCCACCAACCTTTTGCTTTTTGCTTTTTATTTTTCCTCCCTCAGTGCTTTGTCCTTGTTTAAAAATTCATCAACATCACGCAATTCGTCTTTTCCTTCCATCTCTTTTGTTTGTCTATATCCTTTCTTTTTCCTTCTATATGATGAACAATCATGCAATATGCGAATGGATAATTCACCCAAATATGCTTTTTCTCTTTTCGTATTATGCATATGAAGAATGAATGCAAGGACTGTCTCAATTTAACATTTGATGTGTGTGGAGATTTCTTTTGATAAAACAC